AGTCTAAGTCTAGGAAACTCAGGCTAACAAGGAATTGGGGTGCATTCAAGAGATTGATAGCCCTAATTAAAGGGTTAAATCTAGAGATAGTAATACCCGACTTGAGCCAATTTTGCTTGCATTGTTTGGACACCCAATTGGGCTTGAGAAAGCCAATTAGGGCAAAGGCACTTGAACTACCGAGAGGCATAGAGTGATTAATTATGTGCAATAGTTATATCATGATCCTAATTATAACAAGTTTGTCCTAAGTTTTAGACCCCGTTAGATATTCACCTAGGTGTAAGTCACTTCCCTAGTGCCTTTTATTAATTGAGAAAACCTTTACAAAAACATTATACTTAGATAACTTTCAGCACTCATTAGCATAAAGTAGAATAGAAACAAAAGAAATCATGGTTAGAGGTGCAATTAAGAGCAACACACATAGCTAGATCGGATAGGAACCCAATTCCCAACCAATATTAGCTCCTTGTGGATATCGATCCCGACCTTTCGGGTAAAAGCTGCATCGACCACTCTTGCCATTTTATAGTGGTATAGAGTTGGAGCTGATCAGTGTGCAGCAAAGGGGGGCTCGACAAGTATCGTTTGAGTTCTTCCAAAGCTTGCTGGCATTCCGGAGTCCAGGAGAAATTGTTCTTCTTTTTCAATAGTGAGAAGAACTGATGGCTCTTCTCTGATGACCTCGAGATGAATCGGCCAAATGCAGCTACACGTCCGGTCAATCTTTGAACCACCTTGACGTTGTCCACTACTGTGATATCCTCTATAGCCTTTATTTGTCAAGGTTGATCTCTATCCCCCGATTGGATACCATGAACCCGAGGAATTTGCCCAAACTGACCCCAAATGCGTACTTCTCCGGGTTCAGCTTCATGTTGTATTTTCTTAGTATGTCGAAGGTTTCTTGCAAATATTTCAAATGGTCCTATGCTCGCAGGGACTTGACCAACATATCGTCAATATAAACTTCAATTGATTTTCCTATTTATTCTTCGAACATCTGGTTTACTAGGCGTTGGTAGGTGGCAGCGACGTTCTTTAAATCCAAACGACATTATGTTATAGCAGTAGGTGCCAATTTTTTTTTATGAAATAAGTCTTTTCTTGATCGTCCGGGTTCATCCAATTTGGTAGTACCCGGAGTAGGCGTCAAGAAAATTGAGTATCTCATGCCCGATTGTCACGTCGATCATTCGATCGATGTTAGGCAAAGCGAAAGAATCCTTGGGGCATGATTTGTTTAGATCTTTTTATTCTACACACATCCTTAGTTTATTTCCTTTTTTAGGTACTACCACTATGTTAGCTAACCAATCCGGGTATTTAACTTCCCGAATGGATCCTATTTTTAGAAGTTTTTATACCTCATCCTTGATGAACGCGTGTTTAACCTCGAACTGTGGCCTTCTCTTCTGCTTAACCAGATGGAACTTCGGGTCCAAACGCAGCTTGTGAGTGGTTACCTCTAGTGGGATCCCTGTCATGTCAAGATGGGACCAAGCGAAACAATTGGCGTTAGCTTTAAGAAAATCAATAAGTTTTATCCTGAGATCGGGAGGTTAACCACGTGCCCAGGTATACCTTTCGATCCGGCAGATGCTCGACTAATATGACTTTCTCCAACTCTTCAATTGTTGATTTGGTGGCGTCGGTGTCATCGGTAGCTATGAACGATCTCGAGACATTGTAATCGTCCTCATCGTCTGCTCCTTGTTCTTCTTGTTTCTCCGGTTCGGCTAAGGCCAGTATCAGTGATTGCTATTTAATATCTTCTTTCTCGGTCGGTTCTTCCTCGATATTGAAACTGCAGGCACCGAGATCACTTCATCGACAACAAATATTTCCCTTGCGACCGGTTGTTCTCCGTAGACCTTTTTGACTGTCCCTGACGTGGGAAATTTCAGCGCCTGGTGCAAGGTCTAAGGCATCGCCCTCATGTTGTGGATCCATAGCCTTCTGAACAGAGCGTTGTACCTCATATCCCCTTCGATCACATAGAACTTCGTTTCTTGGATTGTCCCGGCAGTGTTTACTGGCAAAGTTATCTCTCCTTTCATGGTCTCACATGCCATGTTGAATCCGTTCAATGCCCGAACTGCCCATACGATTTGATCATGTAACCCCAATTGCTCTACGACCCTTGATCTGATGATGGTGTCCGAGCTACCTGGATCAATCAGCACACGTTTAACCCGAGATTTATTGATAAGTACATATAATACCAGTGCATCGTTGTGAGGCTATACGATGCCCTCGACATCTTCATCGCTGAACAAAATGGCTCCCTCCGGAACGATATCCCAGGTGAATTTTTCCCTCGTAATAGATATTTTAGTGCGTTTTATCATTGGCCCTTGGGGGACTTCGACTCCTCCAATAATCATGTTGATCACGTGCCGAGGCTCCTCTTGTTCGACCTGTTTGTTGATGTCCCTATTTCTGAAGTGGTTTTTGGCTCGTTCACTTAAGAATTCTCGGAGGTGCTCAATTGTTGAACATTCGAGCAACTTCTTCTCTTCACTGTCGGCAATATTCGGTCCTATGACCGTCAGTGCTGTGATACTTACACATCAAGTTAGGATCTCCCTAGTTGGGTCGGACTGCAGTGGTCGGGGCCACTTGGTCTCTTTGATGCGTCCTATGGCCGACACGATGCTTGCAACGTCTACGTTGAAGTTATATTCTGATAATCTTGGTGCCTTCGTACTCCCAAGTGACCTGTCGAAACCATTCTTTCTCATCAAGCCCCGACCACTAAGCCCTCGATCATTTCTCTTCTCGTTCCTTGGGGGTGATGGTTGGATCCATTTCCCCTTCGGACCGCGATGTATGACTGATATCGATCTCGGACCAGTCTTGGCTCTTGATCAATGGCTCTCTTAGATCTATCATCGGTCCTGACGTGGTAAACAGATCCAGAAGGGGCCTCGAGTTGGTCGTCCTCGACCATGATCTTCGACTGGTACCTGTTGTGGACGTCGGCCCAGGTTACTGCCGGGTACTCCACCAAATTTTATTTTAGCTATTGAGAGGCTACGGAACTTCGGGGTTGAGCCCCTGAGTAAATGACTGAACGTCCTAATCATCTGCAACTGGTGGTAGGTCCACCCGCTCCATCTGGAATCTTTAGACGAACTCCCTCAGCAACTCGTTATCCCTTTGTTTGACCTTGAAAGATCCGATTTTCTGGTCTCGACCTTGATGGCCCCGACATGGACCTTTACGAAAGCATCTACAAGCATAGAAAACGAGTCAATGGAATTGGGAGGCAAGTTGTGATGCCATATCATCGCTCACTTGGAAAAAGTTTCCCCAAACTTTTTCAGCAACACCGACTCGATCTCATCATCTCCAAATCGTTCCTTTTGTTCGCGCATGTAAAGGAGGTCACATGCTTATTTAGATCCGTGGTCCCATTATATTTGGGAATGTCGTGCATACGAAATCTCTTTGGGATCAAATTTGGTTCGCGCTCGGAGCAAAGGGATTTTGGATAAATTTTTTTAAATCCAATCCCTTCAATGTTGGGGGTGCTCCGGGGATCTGATCGACCCTGGAGTTGTATGTTTCCACCTTCTTGTCGTTGGCCTCAATCTTTTTCTCACCCGACTCCACCTGTTTTGTCAATGCTTCGAGCATCTTCATCATCTCAGAAGTTACCCCGGGCTCGGCTTCACCTGGTCTCTCGGTAATTTGTTCGTATCTTCGCGTGCTTTCCTAGGATTGTTCAGGCTCGACTCTGTTAGGGGCGTGACCTTGATTCTGCAGTTGTGCTATTGCAGGATTTCGAAAATCAGCCGTAGGCTCACCCCATCACCTTCACTTCGGGCGTTTCTCGAGCTGTTGGTCGGGGTCCCCCACGAACACTGTTTTCAGGGTCAGTTGGCAAATTGATGTTAATGGCCACCTGCGAGTTAGCATCGACCGGGTCGGCGACTGGGACACCGTTGGGATCGGCAGAAAGCACATCACTACTGGGCACCACATTATGATATTCGTCGTGATGGTCCGACTCAACGTCAACGTTCAAGTGAGCAGACTGAGAGTTTGACATTTTTAGACTGACCTGAAATTAAGATTTCAAAAACCAAGCATAAAATAAGGCGTGTTATGGAGATTCATATCAAATCACCACTATTATCCTATCCCCACGGTGGGCGCTAAACTGCTTACCCCAAAATTAGGTAACAGTTAAATTTGTACGCGGTTTAAAGGATACGTGGTTTAATTCAACACGAATAGTTAAGAATAACAGATAAATGAATTAAAGACAAAATAAACGATCAAAGGTTAGGCAATGTTACGATCAAACCTGATCTTAGATTGAACAATGAACTTGTCTTCGACTGAGCCATCGGTTCAAGCCCAGTCGCGAATGAAAAACTGAACAAGTGAGTAATGCCTTTAATAGTAGCTAGAAGATAAAAATAAACTTTTATTCCTTTGAATTGCGTGTTACAATGTTCCTGACTAAAGAAAAATTGCCCCCTTATATAGTAGGAGAATTTCAGTCCTAGTATAAGTCTAAAAGAGATAAAAAAATCTTCTTTTCCAGGTAATTGTTGATCCATAATCGATACTGAACCAGATTCGCGTCGTAAAATTCGGTTGAGGGCGAACGGACCCCTATCTGTCATGCATAACCGTTCACCGCGTCTCCCGAGGTCTAGAAGTTATACTCGGTCCGGGGTGCGTCGCTTTACCATGTCCAATGTCGGATATACCGTTCAAGTCTTCCTGGGTCTCGATATGAGGGGTCTTTGGCCTCGACTATAACCTAATGGATGCGTGCTCCCCTTTCGTTCTCTACCGGGGAATCGGGGTAGCCGTTGCCCTCGATTTTTACCCATACACACAGAAAACAAAAACGTGTACTATTATTATAGAATTAGAGTTCTAATTCATTCAATTAATTATTATGGGGAAGCAATTTAAAAAAACAACACTGACTAAAAAAATATTACTTAGAAAATAAACCATTACTCATTTCAGAATTGCCTAATAACGAATGAACTGCAAAAGAATTCCCATTTAAAGGACAAAGAAAACAAGGCATTAACATCTAACAAAAAGACCAACACTGACCCCAAACCTAATTTAACTTTAAAAGAAACTTACACTAATGCTTAGCCCTTAAATCTAATCTCCATATTTGCTCTCATATCCTCTCATCTCATCACAACTTTTATCTCTACCACCTAAAATATAATCTTCTATTTCTTCTCTATCTACTCAATACAACTCTATACAAACAACAATGAACAAAGAAATGCAAGAAAATAATACACAAATAACACTAAGCATTGAAATTAGAAGGAAGAGAGATGACTAAAAGACTATGGACTAGGGAAACTGTTCTCTGCTTCTTTCGTTCACTTGTTCTCTTCCTCCACTGACTCTTTGTTACTCGGGTTGAACTCCGGTTGGGTGACTGTTGCTGGTGGCGCGGTCCTGGCTATGTTGGCATTGTTGTCCGGGACAACCTTGGTTCTCATTTCAATAACTTTCTTGTGAGAGTTTGAGTGAATTGATGGAACAAATGTGGGACTTGCAGCAGGCCGGTATTCAGGGAAGAGTCGTCCTGACTTGTAACGAACACCACACGCGTTGCACAGAGTTTTTGGTCCCATTGGACCTGCCCTCCATTGAGGAGTCTTTGTTATCTCGCAATGCTGGCATTTCCTAATTGTCTGTGCCACTGGATTCTGATTTGCCTCGACCCGAGCTGAAGGAAACGACAACTTGAGTTTCTTTTTCTTCTTCTGTTCTGCTACAGCAGGTTTCAGAATCTTCTTCATAGGAGACTCCGCGAAATTTTCTGATTCTGAAGCAATTCCTTGAGCAACAAATGGGTGGGGAATCTCAGTAAAGGATGATGTTGGAGAGATAAGTTGAATTACTGGTGCGGGATTAAACGTTGCAGGGCGAGGACGCTTGCTACGAGCACGTTGTGGACCCCGGTGGCATGGACTACTCAGTGGAACAGTTTTTTCAACTGAACAAGAAGAGGAAGAGCTACTGCTGCTGCTCTCAAGCACGGAGACAGGACTCGAAGTCTGGAATTTGGCTTCGGATGTCTCTTTGTTAAGAGGAAAGGTTTCTTTCCCGAGAGTCAATCCTCCGCCCGAAAAGGAATCCTCCACAAATGTTGAAAGCCATTCAAGCTGAACAATATCCTCATACTGTAACACAAGATCACAAATATATCAGACAAAGTGTTCAGAGTTGTAGTATATGATATCAAACTCAATAGATACAATGTCCTTTTCAATGATGACAATGACTTTCAATAGAATGTTTGGTTCAGCTTTGCTTATAGTTGCACAATCATGCTGGTGCAAATTGAATGTTATTATCTGTCACTAATTATGATGGTCATTCCTTGTTATACAACAACCACCTCTCCAACTACCACATGCGAGTGGCAAGGGGCGGATTCGGAAGTCGAAATAGACAGGACTTTCCAACTACCGTGGATGAAAGACGATGCTTCCCCCTTTAGTGGGCCCTACACGGTGCGAATCCAGATTACTCGGGCCAGTGGGTTTCCCGATACCCGACTCATAAAAAGGGCAGCCCGGTGCACTAAGCTTTCGCTATGCGTGGGGTCCGGAGAAGGGTAGGACCACAAGGGTCTATTGTATGTACCCTGCATTTCTACAAGAGGTTATTCCACGGCTCGAACCCGTTGACCTCCTGGTCACATGGCAGCAACTATACCAGTTACGCCAAAACTCCCCTTCAAACAGCATGCATAAAGAAAAAAAAAAGTATCAAATGGCTAAGTCTCATAACTCTAACAGGGATTCTAGTAGTCCATCTAATTTGTTGCTTTTTCAGCTTGAACACAGTGGACTAATAGGCAAATGCACTCACAATAATACAAGGTGTGAAAATGAGATTGAAATAAAGATTCAAATTAATTCCACCAATCAACAAACTTTTATCTGTAGAATGACTGGACAATTGCAAAAAGTTATGATGTGGTCCCAAGTGAAGAATTGACTGCAGCTGCAGCAAATTGTTTGAAATGGACTACTTTTTAATTCCTGAAATGGAGCAAATTGTTTGAATTTTGAGCATAAAATTTAGTGTACTTCTTTAGCACCGACAGCCCAGCTGGCAGTCAGATACAAAACATATCTTAATCCATCATTAAGTAGCTGATCTCTCCAATCATGATACAATTCTTTAATTAAGTACTAAGCAATACATATTTAAAACTCTACGTCCATTCACGTGATGAGACATAAAAAGGAAATCAGCCCCCACGGGAATCACTTACACTTTGACCAAAAGAGAAAAACATGCAACCGGTGCACAAATTAAACCGCATTCGCGCAGGGTCGGTAGAAAGGTCACACTTTAAGGGGTCGCTTGGTTTGAATACGGTTTATGCCGGGATAAATTATGCTGGGATAAGTTATGTTGATATTGTTTTTATTCATTGTTTTGGTATGTTGTATTAAAATGACAATTGCATAATTTCTAAGAAGAAGATATAAGTTATCCCGACACTAATTACCCAACCCCTACAAGGTACTCCCTCCGGTCCAAAATAAGTGATTTTTTGGATGTTTTCACACAAATTAAGAAATACACATTTTAGCATTAATTAGCAATGGAATTGACCATATTAACCTTTACTATCTCACATAAACATTCCTAACACATATTCCAACACAATTTACTCCAAGGACAATGTAGGAAAAAAATAATTAATTCATTCTTGAAATCTGAAAAAATCACTTATTTTGGACCACAAGAAAAAGGCCAAAAAATCACTTATTTTGGACCGGAGGGAGTATAAGTTATTCCGATACTAATTTTTATCCCCGGATAACTTATACCAGATTTGCTAACCAAACAAAGTATTAAGGTGGTATTAAAATTTTATACCAGCACTATATCTACTTATACCTCATACCGAACTAACCCAAAGGGATGTGATGCAGGCATCCTATCCTAATGCATACATCAGTGGCTGATTCCACAACTTGAACACGTGAATCACTTAAACTTTGAACTTTTTTTATTAATTAAAATGCTAATATACAAATAAGAATTTAAGTTATATACACTCACAAGTGGCTACAAAGAGAATACTCACCGGAACAGAGAGCTCGGCGGAGAAGTCAGAGGCTGAATTCCGGTGGCTGCCGGAGAAAAGGGAGTCGGAATCCGGCAATGGATCATTCCAAATGCTGGGAAAATCTTTGCAATCAGTAGAATTAAGGCCAGCAGTTTCATTCTCTAGAGGGAAATCAATCAAATCATCAATGTGGTCAAAGAAGCTACCACAGTCTATCTCATCCACCAAATTTGACGCCATTTATTATACTCTTTCTTTTTCCTACTTTATCTGCAAAAATTAACACAAAACTAGTTAATAATTGCCACCAACTAAGAAAAGTCACCAAATTTTCATACCAACAAATGATAACAATTTCTGAGCCCAACACCTGGGTACAGGAAGCAAAAATACATATGATCATTAGTCATTTAGTCATTTTATTGGGAAAAAAATGAAAATTAATGTGAAGGGTAAGGGCCAACCCCACCAAGTGCTCTAGCTGGAGCCAAGGTGTCAAAAATGAGGCGTGGCACATTTTATTAGAAAAAGGTTGAATATTTTTTGGAATTTTGTCAATCCACAACATAAAATCAAGATTCACAAAATGAGCCAAGGTGGGATTTTTTTGTAATATTTAGAAAATTATTGGGAAATTCAGAAGAAGAAAAAAACAAAAGCTGGGATGAGAATGAACTCTAGTAAAGTGTTCACACTGAGTGCACCGACACATCGAGAAAAGTACAAGAAAAAAGATTATTTAAAAAAAAAACGAAAACCCAAATGCAAATTGAAGAAGCAAACCTTAAAAATGCAAGAACTTATAGACCCAATATGCAGAAAAAGCTCCAAAATTTCTCAGAAAATTCCTCCGCAATTGTATTCCAAAATTGTTCAGAAAAGTATAAAAACAATGCAAAACAGCAAAAAGTTGGAGTAAAATTTCAATCTTTATGCCTAGACATCTCTATAAAACCAAGTTTTGTTGGTTAATTTGAAGCGAAAAAGACTCAAAACATTTTCTCTGTTTTCAGAAAATGTAACTGAAGGTCCAAAAAAATTATAGAGCCTAACACCTTAAAAGCACCAAATACATGAAAAGTGAAAAGAAAAAAACACCAAAAACAGAACTAACGCTTAAACCCTAAAACCTCCGGCCCAAAACTGAGAATAACTGGAATTAGTAGTAGTAGTACTATTTTGGATTGGCTCAAGTCCCAAGGAAACTATGAAGAATTCAAATGAAGTAAAAAAAGACAAAAACTTTACAACACCCACTTGAAAAGAAGTAGTGTAAGAACTATAGCTGGCTGTGAATGTACATTAAAGAAGACAAAAGCAAAAAAAAAGAACTTTTTTCTGACTCTATATGACTCTAATAGCTTATAGTTTGGCTATGAATGAATGAATAAATAGAAAGAATGAAGTATATGTAATACCTTGAAGAAAGTAGTAGTAGTACCAGAAGAAGAAGAAGAGATATGAAGGGGTTTTAATTAGGAGAGAAATGGAAAGAAGAAAGTTAAAAAGGAGAAGTAGAAGTAGAAGTAGAAGTAGAAGGAGAGAGTGATGGTTGGTAAGAGGTATCTATTGTTTCATTGCTAGCTGTATATTTTAGTTATATCACCTCACCCCTCCACTCCATTGTCGTGATCTTTAAGTCTTCCCTCCTCCCTTCAATACGCTCTTCTCATTGCTCTCTGGTCCCACACCTCTCCCTCTGTTTTTTTTATTTTTCCTTTTTTTTATATATACTAGTACTACTTGGTTATTAATGTAATTTGATTGAGATTTAGCTCGAGGTGATGTCTGTGTACACAATACACTCTCCAGATACTACTAGTGGAATTTTATTAGTGGAATTTTATTGGGTTGTTGTTGCCGTTGTTGTTTAGCTAGCATTTGGTCATGGATTTCCAAATTTGTTTTGAAATTTTTGATTTGGGTGAAGTTTGGTTTGAAGATGAAAATGTGTTTGTACATCAATTTTTAAAATATATTTTACTTTTTTTTAAAAAAAATATGAAACATGACTTATACTCACAAGTTCTAAAAACTATCACAAATATCCAGCATTACATTCATTTATAACATTCATTATATTATCGCAAACTATAGTCCTGAACATAAATAAATTTGGTACAAATTTAGCATTTTTATAATGAACTACATAATACACTATCAGATGACCGAGAGGACGAATCAACATTGTTACAAAATAATAAAGGCAGAATGGCCTAGTAGACTCCTATACTTGTTCAGGTTTGTCATCCCGGTCCTTATATTCTGTGGAGTTTCATCCAAACACTTCTAGTTTATCAAAACCTACTTCATAAACCCTTCTGACCGTTGACCGAGCTTAGTTGGCATTTGTTTTGATGAGTCAGATAATTGCGTGATTACAAGCTATAAAAAGCGCGTGCGTCAATTATTTTGATTAAAGAAATTATTTGAAAAATCACAAGAAAAAGAAACAATAAAAATAAATGAAAAAAGATTGAAAAAAATCCTAAAGACCCCTGCTTTCCGTCATGACCCCTTCCCGTCATAACCCCTTCCAATTTATCAAAATATGGATAAAATTTATTAACAGACACGTATTTGCCAAAAAATACCAAATAAATTTTGGCAAAATCTATAACCAAACGGGTCCATAAGTTATACACAACGTAAGTGCTTTTTTATAGTAGCAAACTATACATTTTAGGTTGTAAATCAATACCTAATAAATGAAGCTGATATGTTAATATCTCTTATATTATAAGTGCATAATTTAAGTACTATGCAATGTAATTTGATATGGATTTAAGTTCTCTCACGTGCGAAATTATAGAAGATCCCAATCAAAAAATTTGAAGACCAAAGCAATCTACTTTCTAGTCTAGTCTAGGCTTCTATCCTTGTAAGTGAGTCCTTGATATTTATATAATGATAGTGCAAAATTAGTGTAATCTAATGTTTATAGCAAATTATGCACTACTATTTATTCTAGGTAGGGGTGTGCATTCGATTTATCGATTCGATTTTGACCCTTATCGATAAGTACTTATCGATTATCGATTTGTACATATGCTTATCGTTATCGTTTCAATAAGGTTTCGATTTTTTCGATTTCGATTTATCAATTTTTGGGGCTTATCGATTCGGTTATCGATTACACCAATAAAAAAAATTGCGGGATTCCACGGAAAGTATATCGCTATAAACACGCCTAACTAATATGGACAAAAAGGTAAAAGCGGGGTAGAGGAGAGGTAAAAGCGGGGTAGAGGAGAGGTAAAAGCGGCGCTGAAGAATGGGTAGATAAAATAATAGGGTTAGGGACTTAGGGTAAAGGAAAGGGTATTATAGAATAAGGGTATATTTGTCTTTTTATTATATCTTATCGATTTATCGATAAATCGATAACCGAAGAGGAAAAAATCGAAATCGAAATCGATAAACCGATAACAAATAATCGATTCGATTTATCGATAAACCGATTCGAATGCACACCCCTAATTCTAGGTCATCAATTAAATCATATTAACGAGTAATTCTACTTAATAAATACTTATTGGTAGCCTAGAACTAATAGTAAATAATAGTACTAACTTATTGTAATATGTTAAATTATACTAATTATTTATATTTTTAATTGTTAATATATAACTAAGTCCTAAGCTAAGTACATGTAAGTTTTATGATAAGTATTACTTATAATAGATAACTTGATAAATTGGCAATTAATAAAGATAAAACTATACATCTGTTATGAAATATTATTTTGTAGTGGATGTCTATAACTCCTAAAGAAGTTACTCCCACTACTCTTCTCCATTATGTAGATAACTCCCACTACTTCTCACCATTATAGTTGTAACTCCCACACCTCCATAACCTCCCCATGATCTTCCTCCATGATCTCAAATGTTTAATATCATGTTTATGGCATTCTTTTGTATGCCTCTATGTAATCCTATAAATAGAGGGTTTTGGCATCACATTGTATACACTTGAATACATAGAAGAAATAAGATTCTCTCCTCTCTTTCTCTCTACATTGTTGTCTATTTTATTGTTTTATATTGTTACTTTGAGCTAAGTTTTGTAACACGTTATCAGCACGAATCTCCAACTAAATATGCTCTCATTTTTGTACACCTCCGTAAAGGCATATATTTTGCACTATCCTTATACCACAATTAGTGGCTATCAAACAAAACAAAAATAGAAGTCTGACAATTGATGGAAGCCACTGGAATGGATGCTAATACAAGATATATTTACATCCTTCTAGTTCATTCATATTTTAGCTTTACTAATCTCAAAATTATTTATTTTGCCATGATATTTCTTCTGCCAAATGGGATCTTACATTTTTTTTTCACATTAGATGCTTGTAATATGGATGTTGACTTAAGTTTCTGTACTATTGCAGCCAATCTTTTGATTTGCATGTGTATTATACATGTCCATGGGCAGTCATTTTTTTGGCAATTGATGAAAATGTTATTTAAGGCTCCCCGTGATTAAAGGCTCAAGGGTGATGCATTATGGCCTAAGGTGAAGGATAAGACGGTAGGTTTTAAGTTCCACCGTACCATGGGGGTAAGACATCGGGTTCTAGTCCTGGTGCACCATAATGATAAGAGTTGACTTCGAGTCCCAACTCATTATTGTTTAACATGCCTTTATATGGGTAAGGCATTGGGTTTGAGCCCTAATGCAGCATATTGATTATATAATGAAAGAAAAATAATGTATCTTTCATGAAAAGGCATGAAATGTCCCACTTGATTTGCACCATTCTTGAAGAGAATGTGATAGCACCGCATAATAAGTCTAAATGAAGACAAGTTGTTGACAAATAAACGTGTGCGTTCCAACGATCAAATAATAATAGTCATCATTATGGTAATTGTAAAATGAGAACAATAAGGGTTCTCAAAATAGTCCTTTAAAATGTGAAGGCAATGTTTATCATCAAATTGGTGTGGAAAAATAACAAAGCACGTCGCTAATTATGATCCATTCCTTGAAGAGAATGTGACTTGTAATAAGCATTGAGAATGAAGACCCATTCATGAAGATGAATGTGGCAATATGTGCTAAAAGTAATGAATAAAGACGTGCAATGCATGATTGAATAAATACTATAACTCACCTCTACGGGAGGTTTGAGAGAAAGAAAGATCATAAGCATTACTATGTGGTTACACGAATATGTCATTGGTCGTGTACATGTGGTAAGCCGAAAATATTTTGTCACGCCTTATAAAAAGTTATTAAAGGCAAAATTAAAGCAAGAAAAGATTTTGCTTATGATGATTTTGACCATGACAATTATTATGATAAGATAATTTTCTCTGTGGAGAAAAAAAAATTCACCACTTGGATGGTATTATAAAAGATCTTGTAGTGCAAAATTATTGAGAGCTCTAGAAGAGCGAATTTGTTACTACCCGAATAAATAAAAGTATTCATGGCATTGGTGGTAGTAAGTCTCAAAAGAAACTTTTTGAGTTTCAAATGTATTAGCCAAAGTTGGCATATTGAGACTATAAATGAAAGGAAGATTGATTATCTTCATATTACTATAACATGCCGGGTAAATATGAAAGGTTACCCGACTTTTCTTCTATTTGTACTACACGAGTATAAGCATGATGATGGAATCACATGCCACAAGTAAACTAGAGGTTTACAGAAATAAATATTAGTTGGCACAACTGGTTGTCCATCCCGGTTCAATTATGATGCGAAAATTAATTAAGAATTCACATTGGTATATATTGAAGAAATAGAAGATTTTTCAAGAATTCTCTTGTGCTGCTTATTCTCATGATATACCAGCTAAGGTTGGGATTGAATCTCTTGATTTTTGGAACGAATAAAAGGTGATATATTTATGGGCCCAGTCACCTGCCATGTGGACTATTTACTATTATATGATTTTAATAGATGCATCTATTGTATGGTCACATGTGCGTTTGTTATCAACCTGCACTTTGATTTTTGCAAGGTTGTTTGCTCAAATTATTAGAGCACAGTTCCAGAATATATATTATGATAATTTATCTTCATAATGCTGGTTTAATTCCAAGTTGGTTTAGCAGAAATTGTATGCCTCCAATTATAGCTAAACCATTGGTTATGAGAAAAAACTCCCAAATAGAAATTTGGTATGAGGTGTATTATTTAATATACAACAACACTTGTACGCATCTAGCCAACAAGTTATGATACATTCTCCCCATCACAATTGATTCATGGTCAGGAACCAAATATTTCCATCTAGAAATATGGATGTACTATATGATTTAATTGTGCTACCACAATGCACAAAGATTGGTCCCCAAAGAAGATTGGGGATATGTGTTGGTGATCCCAACATTAGTGGGAGAAAATGAGCAGCTGGAAA